AAAAATTTTCACACAGAATTGCAAAATGGCTCATTTTGCTGCACTTGAGCAGTACAATACAGAAAAGTACCTCAAACAAAAAATTTATTTGCTACATTAAAAAAAAAATTAAAAGTACTAAATGCATATTTTACATCTCTCTATCAGTGTATCAAGTTGTGTAACAAAAAATCTGTGATGTATAATGCAACCTAAAGTAGATACTTGTATTCTAGAGTGGCTGATTAAGCTCTGTGCAAAATTTCATCAAGATAGGACTATTTTATGCCTAAAAAAGATTGTGCACAAGATGAGAGAATTACCTCAAAATGGAAATCGAGAAAAATGCGTTTGAAAGTTGTAAATATGTTTACTCATGATTACACAGTGCGATTTGCACAAAACTTGGTGATATCATAGAAGGGACACAGCTAGAGCACCTAAAATTGTCCTGCTCCATATGTGGATCCTTCTCGCCGCTTGAGAAGGGAGTCATCAAGGCGCGCTTTCTTTGCCACGTTCCGCCGATGGGCCCTTGCCTCGGCTGTTTCACACGCAGACATTCTTTCGATTCTCCTCTGGTCGCGGGATCGGCCCAGGGTGATCAGTTGATCTGGTGGGACTACACCAAGCTCCTCTAGCACGTGTTCAAAGCTTGAATGTCCTTTATTGAACCACAACACGGCCATAGCAGCTGCAGTTTCCACTGTTGTCCGGGAGGCAAACTTAGTCTTCGGACACAACAACCAGATTTTGCTGTTCAAAGATTCTGCAGCGTTTTGGGTCTTCCCTTGGACACAACGCACCAGCAACTTTTCATCTGTGAGCCGCTTGTAAATGGGAAGCACAGCCAATCCTTGAGCCTTGGTCAAGATTGGTGTGTGGTCGGGTGGGGCCTCCCCAAGCGCTTCAGCTCGCCTATGCTTGCACCAGGAAGTCGCCCCTTCTGGACAGTATCGGTGGCTGCCTGCTGTGTTGCTCGATGATGAATGGAAATATGAGGCCCAGATGGCACGATGCATTTTCAGAATATCACCTCTGTTGTTTGTGATTGCAATACGGTAATAGTTCTGCAGCTTCTGAATTGTGCCGTCTGTCAGCTTTTCCCCTCGTGGAAGTCTTGTTGGCAGTTTCCGAAGTGCAGTGCCTAGACGCTTGGCCACATGGTTTGTGCACTCCTCCTTGTCCACAACAGCTTCACCATATACCTTGGCCTCAGCGACAGCGGTATAAGCTTTGCTGTCCCCATCACTGAGGAACTTGGTGAAGCGCAATGGTGTTGTGTATGAGGATGTCCTGCCCCATATGCGCAAAGCTGCCTCAGTCTCCATGGCATGAGAGGAGCACTCTGTATTTTTTTCGCAGACAGGTGTGTGGAATGCTTGCCATATTTCTTCCTCATCACCCAAGTCCTGGTGCCGGCTACAGGCAAGGCAGTAATTCGATAGCACTTCAAAATCTAGGCACAAACCAGTGTCCACAGACACAGCAGTGCCGATGCCATTGTGGCTCTTGTGCCCTCTTTTTTGCCATGTGCCATCATACATGACAGCAACATCAGCCCCATCCACTTTCTCTTTAGTTATCATCCGCGCTTTCGCCATGTTTTCTTGCACAGCTTTGGTAGCTGCAGCATGAACTTTTTTGCCGATTGCAATAAAAGTCTTATGATGCATAGGTATTGGCAGTCCAAGAATAGCGCAAAAACGCGACAGCTGTTCATGCCCAATGCCTATTGCACGCGCAGCCACAACTACCTTCACATTGACAGCGAAGCTGTCGCGCGAGCTGCCGCTTCGGTAGCTCCAGTCATCACCGGCATCGGTGGGCTGTCTTTCCGGCAGAACACGCCGCGAACTATGCGCGGCAGAAACCACTGACTCAGGACACTCACTGTTATCACAGTGCAGCTCGAGGAACGAAGAGAGGCCCTTACGTTTACTTGCGGTGTCGCGAACGACGAGTCCAGCGGTGTGGCATGTTGGACAAACAGCACGGCTTACCATCGATGTCAGTGCGCCGATGTCACAAAATACTCCGCTCACAGAGCCACAAACACTCATCGTTCTTTCGCTTTTGAACTGTTCAATCTTTTTTTCTGATGCGCTGATGAACTTGATCGCGGCGTCGATTTCGTCAAAGTTCCCGCAAGCCGCCGTATCCCCGCTGCCTTGATTAGGCCTAGTGGCCCGCGGCTCGCATTCTTCTACCGCTGCTTTGCGCTTCGGTTTACGTCGACGCCCTTGGTACTTGTTCTTGCTTGCAAACTTTCATGCTCGGAAGTCTCGCTTCTTCGAGTTATCCATGGTGAACTCGGAAAAACATAGAAACGCACGGCAAATGCCGATCGTCGCAAGCGCTCAGCGAGCGAGGCCGATCAGATGTAGCCAATGGCGGCCTCGGTAGCGTACCATGTGACCGGTAGAGATGCGCGAAGCGGCTGCAGCTTGGCTGCAAACCGACTTGGAAACGACTGTTTTGTGAAATTCCTCACTAAAATACGAAACTAGGGGGACGCCTGTACACTAGAAGGAGCCTTGATCTACACCACCGAACAAACCCCGATGGCGGACGTCATCGTGTTGCCGAGTGGCGGATTTTCAAAAATAGCCGTCGGATGCGTGAATTCGCGACTTCGGCAGCTACCTTCACTAGCGCAGATCGATTTTTTACCACTTTCTCATTTGAATTCAGCTATGACCTTTGGGGAAATGATAGTTTAATGATCAAAAGTGATTTTAGCAGCAATATCTCAAAAGTGGAAATTTTCGCAAAAAACGCGATTTTTCGACCCGCATCTCCCCTTAAGCTGACTGATTTTTCATAAGACGAAACTCGATCGGCACAAATAAAATGAACTTTTTTAATGCACGTTTTCTATAAAAAACAGACAAACACTTAGTGTGAAAGTGTCAATCTATTAAAGCAGCTTCAACTTCCAACTGACATACGTAAATAATGAGCAAACGTTGAACCCATTATATTCCAACCAAGGCGAAAATTATCAACAATCGTAAATAGGACACGTCGTATTGACTCAATCACGTTTGTTATGATGGCGCATATATTTTTCTTAAAGAACTTGAGTACCAAACGAGACTGAAGTTCAGAGGCACGGGGAGGCTTGAAGCAATCAGAAGTTTTCCGCGAAAGAACATTCGCCGGAAACAGTGTTTCGGCAAGTTTTCTTGTCTTCGTCAAAGCAACAGCGTTGCCTTGCAAAGAAATGTTCACTTGTCAAACTCTGGCTTCATCGGCATTCTCTGTAATAATTCTTTGTGGCATTTAGTCCATCAGGTGTATTTGAGAGACACGATTAGAAGTAAAGAGTTGCAAATTTTCAAACCGTGGCTACAAGATATTCATGAGTAGGAAGCCGTGTACAATTACTTGACAATTATTGAACAACACTTCAAAAGTAAAAAAAGCTAAAACAATGTAGCCGAGCCAACTCGAATTCAAGCCTTTCAATGAACGCATTTTCTTGACAGGAGCTTAGCGGCCGTCTTCACTAATTAGTCAAGCGACACTGCAGTTCTGTCAGTCAAGTTAGGCTTGCAGACAACTGGGTTTACTCATATGCACTCATGGAAAATCAATACCTGCTCAAATAACGAGCCCGAATCCTTGTGCTCACTCGTTGCCTTTAAGAAACGGTGAAAAAAACCTTCGCACAACTAGAAAACACCGAATTGAGCCACTGCAGTGCCGTGGAAAACATGTGTTGCCCAATTAAGCCATCTTTGACAAATGCGTGGTTGACATGTTCATCGTAGCTCACTCTCACTGTGGCTTCCGCTCTCTGCCCGCCGCAACTAGCCATCTATTTTTACTGTATTTGACACGCCAATTGAGCGAGATAACTGAGTGTGATCCAACTTTTAATATTGCTGAGCGAAGGGCGAGAAGAAGCAGTGGCAAGTGCTACGAACGCAAGTCAGTCACTTGCCGCAATTTGCCCGTTTTAAAATCCACAAAATAAGGAAAGACATACATACAAAAGAGAAGTTCATTAAAGGGGTATTGACTTTTTTATTTGTAAAAACTAGTGAAAGCCAATAAGTGTGAACATTCACATCAACCTCCCTCCATTCAAATGGATCTTAAGATGCTCAGCAACCACTACAAGCGTGCATTTTTTCTTGAAACCGAAACCAGCACAGAGTTTCTAAAGGCCTGCTTTCGCTGCCGTGAGTCAGTGCTAAGCTGTGAAAGCACCTACCCAGGAGAACCCCGCACTGCCGCGAAGCCACACTTTAAGGTTAAGTGAACATAATCCCCTTCCATTGATTATTCATTTTTCAAGTTTAAAAGACTGTTCTACCGGTTTACTTGCTCTAAAATTAGTAAACTAAGACATATGGTAAATTTCAAAACTTGACATATTTTGAAGGTTATCACTTGCACTCTATCAAAAGTCAAATCTTGTTTCGTAGTTTTTACTTCCCTTGAACAACAACAAAAAAAGGCATTTGCACAGGTCTTATTTAAAAAAAGAAAAATATTGTGCAAGTTAGTTAGGTCATAATGTGACATATATACTATTCGCACAAGCCTATCCATGTCTAATTGGAGTCTTCTGTCTCTCATTGCCCATTAGCAGCGATTGGCATGTTCCAGTAGTAAACAGTGCATTGCTGCGTGCTTGGAGCATCCCCAGGTGTTTCTACTGCTCAACACCGCGATGAGCACCTGCGTCAATGTCGCTGCCAGTGTAAACGCTAGCGCCCATTGCTTCCCATCTACACATGGTTCCCTTTTGCGGGAGATGGTATTATTTTGTTGTACGACACACCTGTGGGGCCTAGTGCTGCTGCCATTCGGTATTTTGGATTCCAAACATTCTCAGCTTGCACATTTTTACTCAAAGTGTTAAAGAAATAATGGAGATGGTTTAGAGGGTCCTTTGTGAGAGTAAATGAACGAATGAATGAACAACAAAAAAAGAGAAGCAAATGTGAAAGGTGCAGCAAACCCAGATGTACAGTTCACAGTTCAAAGTGAAATTTGCTCACACTTACTTGCTCGGAGACAGAAAGGAGAAACTGCAAGGCTTGAATAAAAACGAGAAGCCCAAAAGCGGATCGGCTCCCTTAGGCTCTGCTGCATTCTCGCATTCTGCAAAGAAATGATGACAAAGCCACGGTGAAAAACTCACAACCTTTACTCTTAATACACAAATAAGTTAAATGTGTAGAGGGATATTGTCGGTATGTCATGGGTTCTTGAAACAAAGAACCTGAAAGAAACACCCAAAAATCATGCTAGTTAAAACCAAGAACCTATAGTTTTGAAGCGGGTTCTGCTACAATAGAGCAAGAAACCACTAAATCTGCTGTTTGTTTTGTGAAGCGTGGCATATTTTTTTTGTATTATACCAAAGATATGAGAAGTTGGTTTAACAGAAACGAAGTCTGCTTTAAAGAAATTATAAGGGTATTCTAAATAAAACCAGGGTAATACCAGGGCACTGCAACACTTTTTGAGCATGGTAAGAAAGCGCTGCCGAACGGCAGTAGAGGCTCCCGAAAACACGCGAGCCAAATATTGTAGCGTAGCACGTGGCATGGAATTTCCAATAAATTATCAAAGTCAGCTGAAATTGCTTTCTCTTCTCCAGACAAATCGCAGAATAAGCCCAAAAGTCACTCGTAGTAAACCCATCTATCAGCCATTGGCAGATTTGAACACTGCGCGCTCAGTCGTTACAGAGCTCGCCGCGGGAGGCCGTCACTTGTCTACACATGCGCGTGGAATCACACTGAAAAAACTACGTATTTGAAGATAAAAAAAAGAACGTGCTCAAGGTCCCGAGGCGCACGTGACATTTTTTGTTTGCCCCTCCCATCCCTCCCTGCTTAGCTTCCAGAGCTTTCGTCGAGACGAGAGAAGAGAGAATGCGATTGAAGCGTGTGGCAAATCTTCAACCCCACTCATACTGGACGCATTCTTAAAATTTTTGCAGTGTTGAATTTGTGAGCCAATGAGCTCCTTCAGTGAACTAATTCCATGGTTACTCAAAAAAGTGTTTCAGAGCCCCTTCATTGCCACACTAGTATTAAATATCCATCCAGCCTCGATAAAAGTGACCAAAAGTTTCAAAGCGATCCTACAAGGTGAAAGACGAACAAGGCTATTACAGTCAACTTCCATATGTTAGCCCTGTACATCATTATCGAAAATTGGTTTAATTAAAATGCAGCAAAAATGTTCAAGCATTTCCAGTTAATCTGGTGTGTGTCTAATTCTAACATGTGCAATAATTGAACCTAGCAATATGATGAAAAGAATGGTTTATTTTGGCTTAATGTCTTTTCTCACACACAAACTGTACGAAAAAACTGAAAAAATGTGCTTAAAAAGTTAAGGGTGCAGGTTATATGCAAAAAAACACGGTATATGTCTCATCATAATCTTCAGATATTACCTTGCCACTGTAGCTATATTTTGTACAGTCCAGTGCACGCTTGATATAGCTGCTGTACACATCAACTTTGGAAGCGCATCACTTATCGTTTGTTTCTTTGAATGGCTTGAAATGCAGAGTGCACGTTCACACAGGTCTTCCGAGTAGACAGCTAGCGTTATTGTGCTGCACATTGCTGCAGGGGATCACTTTGCTGGAGACACTACCATGTTTGAGGACCATTCAACAAGCTAAATTCTAGAACCAATGTCAAGAGTCCTTTTTTCGAAGCTCGAGATGAATACAACCAAGAAAACAAACTGTGCGTGTGTTTCAGGCCAAAGATTTTATTCTTCTTACGCAAGGATTCAAGCTGACGAATTGCAGAATTGTATACTTAACTACATGCTAACAATTACTAAATCTCACACAATCATCATATTCAGATACAGATGAACCCCTTTATAAGAGACACTGATATAGGAGACAAATGGCTATAAGGGACACCAGTATGCCTACAGTAAAATATGGGGGACAGGAAAATGCATACAAGTTCCCCTGCTTACAAGAGACATCTCGTATATAGGACAAGAATTGCTGCCCGGAGCATGCCTCTTATAGAAAGGTTCAACTGTACTACTTTGCCACTACAGTTAATCTACTGTAACAAGACCAACCTATTGCCAATCAGCAATATTTTCTAATGGCGAATAAGTGCGAAGCCTGAGTAAAGTTGCATGCTAGCTTACCTGATGAATCGGCAAAGCTTGCCTCATCCTCGGCACTATCATCCTTTTTCAATCTGCAATGCAACACGAGAGCAACAATGAAGGGCCCTTCAAGTGTCATCTTAGACTGAACGAAAACCTAGTTTCACATGGTTACAAATATGATATCAAAGTTACAAATAGAATCTGAAACATAATTAGTACAAGTGCAACCCTTAACACTAATCAAATTAAAGGTCAAAATGAAAATTGATGGCACACTGCCTGGTTCTACGACAGAAAACCTACGCGCATTCTTACTGAACTCGTGAAGGTTCGCCTGCCACTTAATGTGGCAAGTCAAATTGCACACCTATTCTCCCAAGAACATGCTTGTACCAGGTTAAGCCACTTTGAGGGTCGTCCGAAAGGCTAAACGTATAAATCCATTTTACTAACACTTGTACCAGCAGTAACAGTAAACATCATGACAAAAGAAACCCAAGTACCGATAAAATTACAATTTAGTACTATTGCATTTACTCGCATAATCCTCGCACTCGCATAATTCTCGTACCCTCCCCCCATTACCCAACAAAAGTATGATTTCATTTTTTCTGCGAGTAATTATCGCACCAACAGCCACTGATGACGATGGCGCACACCATCTGGTGCGTATTATTATTGCACGGAGATTCAATCCAATCCAAGCCAAGCCAAAGTGGTGGTAAGCGTGCATAGCAGCAAATTTTGTATGTCGTGTCCATAAAGTTGTTACGCTATGGTACAGTGGCTAGAATAGGAAAGTGTTGAATAGGGAAGTGCGTTACAAAGGACGAAGCTCTGTCAGGCTTTACAGCCTTTTGCTTTTGCTTTGTTTTTTTCTATGTACAGGAAAAAAATAAAATAAATGAGGCAGATTTTTCGCCTCCCCCCTTTTCTGCTCTCCCGGTTGCATTTTTACACAAAAGCGCTCAATAAAGAACAAGCATCTTCCTAGGAAAGAGGAAGTACCTGAAGCTTAGGCGCCTCACCAAGGCTTGCAGCCCAAGAGAAACAATGTTCTGTAGTGCGCTTGTGAACTAAAAACTTTTTTTCTTGTGGATAAAAAAAGATGCGCGGCCAATTTATTATATGGTTGCGCATCTTTTTTTATCCACAAGAAAAAATAAAAATGCATTGTTGTAAACAGATAGCGAGTAACTACACGAAAATGTGTTGTATGATCAGTGTGCAAAAAATAAAATGTTTTCCGCTCCCGATTCTTGTCAGAGTTCGATTGTGCGTAAGCAGAAGCAGCTATAGCGAGTCATGCATGTTACGAATGATGCGGCTTTATTTACAGATTAGTGTTTGGGGAAATGATGGTTCGCTGCGAAAGGCGTTGCAAGCAATAGCTCACAACCGAGTTCATCGTTCCACTTTTTGGTGACATTGATAAAATGTTTCAGTGCCGCCGCGTGCTCAATTTTCGCACCCTGTCGATATTTCCTTTCAGTTGCGCCATCCTGCCATCCAAATGCAGCCATCCAGATGTAGATTATAGTGTAGCCATCCTGCAATTCCAGATGCTAGCATAATTGCTCGGTCGCAATTTGAGGCCGTGCACGAGGAACAAAATATATTTTAAATGTTTCATAGTGCCCGCAGGCGTGGTTGATTCCAGTCTCTGCGCAGCACATTGCCGCCTTGGGTGACATGCAAACGCGTGCCAGCACCACCTGGCGGTTTCCTCCCAAGGTGCTACACACTAGCTGGCGCGTTCATCACACTTCCCTATTCTAGCCACTGTAGCTATGGGGCGATACGGAAGCTACACGGCTGCTTTCAAGTTGAAAGTGATTGATCATCCACTAAACAACGGCAACAAGGCCACCGGTAGGCCCATTGGAGTCGATGAGTTTTGTGTTCGCTACTGGCGACAGCAGCTGAAAGCCACCAAGACGCGTTGGGCCTTTCGTGTGCCTAAGACTGGGATGGATAGTAAACATTATTTTGCCAGAAGGCAACTGTGGATGATTATGTGTTAAATGGCCATCAACCTAATAATGACATCATACGCTAACCTTTTGCGGGCTACTGTTGAGTGGCGAACGCTAACTCTACGGCAGCAACGCCCACCAGCTTTGCCTACGGTATTCTAATTCTCGACTATTTGCTTGTGCCTTTTGTGCCTCAAATAAATCTTGCCTTGTGTTGAACCTGTCGTTTGATTGTTAAGGTAAGTTTTAACTAGTACTTCTCAAAGCTTGCAGTTAGTTGCTGGTGTGAGAACCCCGATTTGCAGCCACTTCGTTTCCTTGCTTTTTTTCCTCCTGTACTTTTTCATGAAAAGTTTCCCCCGCACAATTCTCGCACCCCTCAACTTTACATCAAGTTTCCGCCAAAAAAAGTGCAAGCATTATGCAAGTAAATACAGTAGTGGTCGTGAGCGCTCGTATGCGCTAGCGTAGTGGCCTATCTAATCAGTGGCGCCACCTGCGGCACCGTTACGGCAGCTCAACTACAGGCCCAAGCGAGGGCTGGGATACGCTCAATCTCGCTAACACTTGCAGCGTGGATAACATGTTTTCATTAGAGCGGTGTAAATAGCAAAGTTTTGGTTGTTAAGGCAATCTGAATATATTGAATTGTGAGTGCAAATAAAATCGAATATTTTTCTAATACAGTCGAACCCCGCTACAATGAAACTGACGGGGCGCAGAAAAAATTTTGTTTAAGTGAAAATTTCGGTGTAGTGAAATCGAAAAAATATAGCTGATCTGAGCTAGCAATACAAAGAAACGTTTATTCTCAAAATTAAAAAACATCCGCTACTTCCTATTCTTTCTCAGCAGCGTCACGACGTCATTCTCACTTATGCATAGCGAGGCCAAGGTGAAAAGTGCACTGAAACAATGCCTAAAACTGCCTTGCTGAACGAACCATACATTGCATTAGCATGTTAACACCAGCAACTGTACGGCGTCAAAAGTATCCGATAACGCCGACATGGAAGCAGGGTATAGTGGAACGGCGACTTTTGCATCATTCTATGCCATTCTTCTTATCCATCACTCGCCGCTAGCCGATTTTGCTGATAATGCGGACGAACAGCCAAGCGCGAACATAATGATTAGCATCGGGATCGGAAAAGGCATCGTTTTATAGTTGCACCGAGCAGCTGCGTAAAGAAAACCATCAACTTTTGAGCGACTGAGCTTCAGTTTCGGATCGTCTCCGGCTAAAAAGCAAGCCAGTCGCAAAACCAGGGCCAGGGCAGTCTCATTGCCATCGCTATCGGGGAATGGCGGCGCCTATGCTTGCTGTATTGCGGCAGTACAGCGGCAGTACAGCGGCGGTTTCTGGTGGTGCTAACGCGCGTTTTAGACTTCATTGACGCATTTTCAGGCTCTGAAAATGCATTGAAATGTTAACGATTCTGTTTACTGCATAGCAATAAATATCTGAGCCAGGAATCGCATCACAAAATTTCGTTGAAGCGGAACGATCGAAGAAAACGTGTTCGTTGTGGCGATAATATTTATGCATCAACTACTATAGACTGTTGATGAGGAATCGTGAATTTTTCGTTGTAGCGCTAATTTCGTTGAAGCGGCAATCGTTGTAGTGGAGTGCGACTGTATTTCTAGAATATTTTTCAAGTAATTCGAAGCTAAGCTGCAGAAAAAAAGTTGGAGAGTGCTGCTAAGCTTTATCTGATGGGACAACAACATGAAAGTGTTTCTTTTCCCTAGCTTAATGAGGCACTGGCGGAATAGCATTTTATAGTTGTCTTATCGAAATTGGGAAAATGCAGAGGCCGAATCGCACTATGCATACAATTTTGTGCAATATACGTGTTACCGACAGCATTTTACATGTGAAAGCAAATATATTGTTCTTTGAGCCTCTCCTCTTCTTTCAACTTCTGTTGAAGCCGGACAGATATGGCAGACAAGGGTGTGCTCCCTTCCAGTCTGGAGTTCCAAATCTACCTCGTAGACGTCAATACAGTCGACTCTGATTAATTCAAACTTGAAGGGACCTCTGAATTTAGTTTGAATTATCAGAAGTTCTCAGACGGGTCACTCTGGGTAAGGCGACACCTCACATTGTGATTAAGCATTGACTTTATCACATTTAAAACTTTTTTAAGTGCTTTTAAATCTAAACTGCACTCCATAGAGAGAAAGCAGAGGTATAAGTTGAGTAGCCATTTAGTGCTGATCAGACCTTTTGAAGAAATCGCGAATTGCCAACTGCTTCTATGACATAGGTATGTGCCTTTAGCACAAAGCTCTCTATACCAGTTGAGAAGCATCACGGTTTACCATGCGTGTGCTTTGTTTCAAACATTTGCTAACCAGCAAAGCCTTTTTCCTTGAAGGGGCCACTTTCAATCTGATGTTTACTGTATTTGTCTTAGTGAAGTTCAAGTAAACCGAATAGTAAAAATTTCAGTGCGAATCGAATAGCAAACACTATCACTTATTGTTTGGACTTCAACATTTGCACAACATTCTGAAAACAAGACAGCATCACCTGCGTACATAGGTCGACAAAAATTTAAGGCTCACTAAAGCTCACTGATCAAACATACCTCACCCTTGGCGTTCACTCGGACACTCATCAATGTTTTTTTCAGCTTAAGACTGAGGCTCCCTAAATTATTCCTCAATTGGACTCCCAACTCCCTAAAATATTACTCACTTTGACTCGCGCAGACTCAGATCGAGTCTGAGTGAGTATTAGAGCCTGAGTGAGTTCACTCAGGAGTCCATTAGTGTAACCAAGGTTTCGATGCTTGTTAACACTAATATCTCACATAATAAGAGCTCTACTTAGCACTTTTGATTTCGTATTGTTAAGGGTTACAAGTGGTTGACACCCACCGAGGACATTTTTATTGAAACTAACATGATGTCTTTACCAGACTTTCTTTTGAAAGAGATTTGATGGGGGATCATGCCCTCTCCCTTCCTCCGTAACTCGCACATCTGTTCAACTAATATAGACCTGGCATATGAACACTACTGCATTGATGTGCAAGCAGATATAATCAGTATAAATGTGAGCTGACATAAGGCTGACAATAATGCTGAAGTTGAGTAAACAGAACGTGAGGTTGGCAAATGTACCTCACTCTTAGGGCTCACTCAGACTTTCACTCGTGAAAGCTTTCCTTAACAGGGCTCAGTCATACTTTGATTCCCTGAAATTTTTCTCAACTGGACCTCGGACTCCCTCACTAAACTATTACTCAACCAAACTCGCTCAGACTTGTGGCTCTATCAGAGTCTGCGAGAGGCAGTTGACGAGTGAGCTTGCCGAACTATGTCTGCACAACTACCTACTACAGCGAGAGTTCAGGCAAATCGACTGAGGCAGTGCCACATTTTAATGAGCGAAAAAACAAACAATGTTTTTTTGAAGCAATGAAGATCCACTCGAAGTGCATATAATCCAACCATAAATAACATTTTTACTTTTGAGCAAAAAATGTTCAGGAGCACCAGCCCTATTAGGAAAACATGGCCAAGCGAACTTCGGCATGCGTACTCCAGACATTATTTTCCTGTCTTTTTCCTCTTTGTAATCCTACTGGACAGAAGCTCCCTTTGAACCGTTTCCTACCTCCATGCCAGGAATTGGACTGTCATCGATGCATTTCGCAGCGCAACTTTTGTAGCTGGAGCCAGCAACTATGGCTGTGCCTTCTAACAAACAACAATGAAATGAGGCAATCTGAAATGACAAGTTACCTTAAAAACTTTGATGATTAAAACCTTTTGTAACAAACACTACCAATCTCTGACAAGTGTAACATTAAAACAACATTTTTATCAGAAAACTCCAAATAAAATGTCCCCACATCCCCACAAAGTGAATAATGACGAGTGAGTGAACTTAGATCTCAAGGTCCATAATGTCTACCTTGAAGCAGCAGACTAGAATAATGGATGGAGGCACGAACAGGTGAACAGCATAGGTGATCATGCATTGCGCTGTCATATACTTGATTGATTTACACAGACGGTCGTTGTTCGTTATGCAGGTGTTAAGTTTTGATTCTGTGTAGCACGATGGACGCTGACCAAGCCAAGCCCTAAAGAGCCTTGTTTCTAAACACATGCGGCTGCCGCACCTTAAAGGGCCCGATTTGTGTACACCAGCATTTCTGTACATTCGAGAGTCCCGCTAAAGAAAAATATTTTTTAGCAGGTACATCTACAATGCCAATTTAGGAGCCAATGCGAGCTCGTTTTTTTTTCAAAAATAACTATATGGAAGTTTTTTTTTTCGTTGCAGACAGGTTTTCACTCATCGTTTTTGGGTGATGTCGCCAGTCATCTTTTCCCCATTTTTGGAGCCTGCTTCAAGATACGATTCCTCAATTATGAGTGCAAGCATACTGATTTCCATGAGTGTGACACATGATCTCATTTTAACTACCATCCAACCCTTCAACCTAAACTTTGTGTTTAAGGTGCCCTTCAGCTCTGTGGAAGCTACGAGGCCCCCAGCCAACGGAAAAGGCGATTAGCCCCTTCGCATGTATTTATCCACGCCGTGTCCTCTGCTCACGATGTGCATGTAAGATGAGTGGTTTATTAACTTAAAAAAGTAAGAAACTATCAGAGAAGCCAATACACTTCAACTTCAGGAAGTTTGGCGTCCTAACAATATGACTTGTGGCTCTACTGAAAATCGGTAGACGCTCATGCCAGCAGATAACTTCACTTTGTGGCTCTCAGACGCTGTTCATGGCTCTGCCATGACTGCTCTGTCGACGGGTTTTGCCTTTTTCCGCTAAAATGCATCTTTTCAATCTTTTTTTTCTCTTTTTCTGTTTTACCGAAGGAGCATCGGACGCATGTGGAACGCTGTGAGAGGTTGCATGTCCAATATTTGGAGATGCAGCGTTCTTAGTCTGGCAACACAGCCCAAGCCGTGGCCTCTGCACTTTAGGCTTATCAGATACGGTTAGAAAAACCAAAGGTACGCGATTCTTCATTCTCATAGTAAGTTGAAACAAATCGATGGCTGTTTTCACCAGTTATTTGTTGCTGCCAGCGCTTTGGGGGGTTTAGCAGGAGCAAGTTCGTATCGAAGCGTACGGTCACTTCTGCATGGGAGCTGCCATATTGATTTGTAATCGTAGTTGCTGCCGATAACTGGCACAAATAATTAAATGTGTAGGAAATAAAAGCGATGAAGAAAAACATATCGCGCATTGATATGGCATTACACACACCAAACAAACGCCAATTTCAGAGAACCCTGCCATTTTCAAGGCACTTATATCTGGGACTGTGTTTCACTGCGGAAGCTTGTAGCTTTCTTGTGCCCCCGTAGCTTTGGTATTGCTGAACCAAAGTGGTGCAACAGTATTGTGATGAATTAATAATAAAAAAAAGACGAGGAACCTGCAAACACGACATCCTACAGTTGGGTTTTGTATTTCGTGCGATTTTACGACGTGTGCCTGCGGTAATAATATATGTAAAATCTTACGTCTGAAAATCGCAATTTGATTATGAGGAATGTTCTGGAAATTTTGACAGTCTCATGTCCTTAAACAAGCATCAACATCGCACAGTACATGGACCTCTACAAGATCGCATACATGGAAATACGACCACCGCAGCCGGAATCAAACCCGCGACCTTCTGGTCAACAGCCAGGTACCTTATTCAGCGATCCACTGCAGCGGACCATTTGCCCGAGGTGTGTCTGCGCTTGTTTGAAGACGCTTCACTCACCTGACAGATGCCTTTCTGGTAGTGCGCCTCACAGGAATCAGGGCTTTGAAGCCTTCTGGAGCAAATGACACCTTAGTAGAATCATCCCAAGGAGGGCGTCCAGAGTGCTGGCACGTTGCATTCGAAGTCTTGCATCTCGCGTGGCGGTCACCGCCACTGCCTGCCGATGATGCATTGGCGATAAACTGTGCACGCGGATAAAAAGAAGGTGCTCAGAATTGGCATTTGTTGAGGCTGTGGGTTCACAGTGTCCCTAAAGAACTTGGTACACGCCTTGCAAGCAAAATAATGCATTCACTCTCTACGTTTCTGTAACAAAGCGCAGTTTACGAAAAGCATAAAATTTCACGAGGCAGCAAGTAATATATCATGTCCCTACACACAATAAAAGTGCACATCGCAGTACACAGTTATAGCCTACTTACACCACAAATCGCAATGACGCTTCTCTATTTGTAGAAAGCAACAATGTTTCGATATTTGAAGATCCTTCCTACCTAGTCTTAACGGGGGATATACTAAAAAAAAATAAAAATTAAACGTTTTGTTAATCTATAACCTATGACAATGAAATTTATGTTGTTTACATAGGTCTTTATACAGACTACAAATATGTAAAGATGTTTTGGATTTTATACCCTGACAATGTGTAAAATATATCCATTTTTGGACACTTTTCTTTACCACTACACTTTTATGCTCATGAACCATTAACAGCTCATATTGAAGTAACAAAATGTGTGCAAGACATTTTAATTAGCAAAAATTCTAATGTGAGAAGTCTTAAAGTGCTCAGCCCATACTAACTGCTTACACCGGGTTCATAATTATACGAGTTATGCAAGGTTTTACACTTTTCCTATTTTAATCTTCAGTTCCACACTTCACACGTCAAGATATATGCAGAAAAATTTTCATCCTGATCCGACTATCAAAAGTACCAAAAACGCGATGTCTAATCTCAAGAAGTTGCCCACAAGTGCATCTTGAGAAAAATGCATTTTAACCGTATAAATTGAAGCTTATTTATGTGGCAAACATATGTTCTTTATAACGATATCTGCAATCATGCGAGCTTTTGGAATAAAAGTTATTTTGAGTGTGTGGCTTTGGTGAACTCGTGCAAAATGCAATGACAAGCAGCCAGGTGACAATTTCCAGGAGACTCTGGACAATCAGCTTTTTATAGCTTTTAATAGGCATTTTGTGATCGATTTTACCTACTTCGAATTTAATTAAAAACCTTAATTTCTTTTTCATGAAGCCAGAGAAACTGAACTTGCAAAAGCAAGTAAAGAAAATGCAATTTCGGCAAAAAACAGTTTTTCGAGTTGCAGCTTCCCTTATAGTAACCATTCAGTACCAGCAAGGGCCATGTCGTACAGTTGAACCCCATTGTAAGAGACATGCATCGGGAAGCAGTTCTGTCTCTCAATAAGCAAGGTACCACACATGCATTTGCTTATCCACTTACTACTATGTAGGCACGTGGATGCCTCTAATAGAGGGGCTCAACTAGATCTGCATGCTCGTATGCACATACAGCAACCTTCTAATGTGGCCCTTCAGAATTTTGGTTGGACAACGATTCCAAAACATTACTACCCCACATAAGCAAGATATGTCGTATTAAACAAGCAGATTTATCACCTTCTGACCCCCAATTTTGATTTTATATTAGAGGCGGTCTTATTGTCAGACAATTAAGAATAATGTTGAGTGTTCTGAACACTGCTGAATGGTATTCAGCACGTAATGAAGAGATTCGCTTTACTGAAACAATTTCCGGTGCAGTTTGCTAAACCTCTGTTATTGTTCATTGCTACACCACATAACTACACCACAAAAATATATTCTCTCTCAGACAAACATCAGCTACTCTTTTTGTAAGGTGCCCTGCAACAATTCTCAAGCTTGGTCAGAAAACGCTGCTGATTGATAGTCTAAGATCCTAAATTGCCAGCCAAAGATTACAGTGCTACACTTGGTCTAAAATTAACTATGCATTCTCGAAGTAGGCAAAAAAATTCTGTGCAACAGTTCGCCGATTTGAACATCGTTAGCTCGTAGTTACCAGAGGCTTTGCTAGATGTCGCCACGTGTTTGCGCACACTTGCGATCACAATGAAAGTCGGCCGCGCATTCAAAGAAAAAAAAGTGCTCAATGTCATGACACGCACCAACAAAGGAGGGAATCTTGTTTTGCCCTTGTCATCCCTCTCCCTACGCAGTTTTCAGAGCACTCACTGGCACAAAAGCAGAGAGACGGCGCGTGGTACATGTAAAAAATACATGGGACTCTGCCTGTGCTTGACAGATTTTTAGAATTTCTGCACCATGCGATTCACGAACCGTGAAGCATTAATTATGTGACCATTCCACTATACATCAGAAAAGTGTTGCAGGTCCCCTTTAAGCGCACTACCGGAGTAAAAATACTTCAGTGAATTTTCATAACCTGAATGAAGCATACAAGCAAAACCTCAACATTTACTTCCTACAGTGAGTGTTGCCATTTAGGAATAATAGGAATTGGACAAGCGTGTTTCTAGTTTTTTGAAGGATCCATAATGTAGTCCACCAGAAAGCTTACCAATCACATATTGATACGCACAAGTACTTTCTTTCACATTTACACAAGTACTTTCTTTCACATTTAAATACAGACCCCCCCCCCCCCCCAAAGGAACTGAAAGCATGTTTCCATGCTTAAGTAAGGCAACAGCATTCTGCTGTCTTTAGGTTTCAAAAAGGTTACTCGAAGAGACAGTGCCAAGAGATCTGCAAGACATGCAATATTATTGGTAGATATGCTAAAATTTTAGTAGAAGTTGATGTAAGCACATGCTTGGTTCAAGGAGAATTTGTAAAGTTATGTCAGGAGAATAAGGTAATGTCAATGTCGACAGCTGAAAGTGCATTTCAAAAATTGAATTTTTCCCCTTGCACTTGACAACTAACAAATTCAGAATTGAATTGACATTTGATAACCTGACCCTCGTAAGGTTTTTCAATGAACGGCCTCCCTAATTTCAAAGACGCAATGTGAAGTTAGCGAACCTGGATGTACGAAAGCCGCTTGCAAGGCAAAGCTCAATCCTGAGATAGAGTTCACATATTGTCTTTCTCAAGTGTGTTCCCAGGCCAATGCATGATGCAGTGATGCTACCAAGGTCTTCCAAATCGGAGCAATTTTTAGAGCACATTAGAGCAGCAAAAGTTTTCATTTTCGAGCAATCTTGAGCAGCTACCTTCACATCCTGGACGATAAGCAAGTTGCATTCACATTCAAGAGCATGAATAATTATTTTGGGGCTCTTGTCTTCTGTGAAGAACAAGAAATATTTCGATACATGACAAATTTCATGGAGCTTTAAGAGAACTTCCCATTTCAGTTGATGCAAAAATAGTGGCACCATTGTTGAGCATTCTGAAAAACTTGTCCCGTGATTATTTTCGAAGCAAATAAAGAAAGTACTGGTTGAATAAAAACGTACTTCACAACACAACATTCTCAATAGACCTATTTGGTTATCAGCAGATAGGGTATAGTATAGCATCAGCAGACAAAGGCATTTAATTTGTAGAGTTCAACATCCCGAAACCACCATACGAATTTGAGAGACGTCGTAGTGGAAGGCTCCAAAAGTTTCGACCACCTGGGGTTCTTTAACGTGCACCAAAATCTGAGCACATGGGCCGACAGCATTTTTGCCTTCATCGAAAATGCAGCCGCCGCAACCGGGATTCGATCCCACGACCTGCGGGTAAGTAGCCAAGTACCTTGGCCACTAGACCACCGCTGCAGGCCTGGGGGCAGGCAAATGATAACATTGAGTATATATATTCCATGGTTCCCAATGTTCACCCCCACCCCTGTCTATGCCACTATTCATCGCTGTCATGTTTTACTAGCGGGTAAAAATGCATGAGAGGGGGCAACGAACATGGCTAAAGTAAAGATAAAAAAAAGCCGGCCTATCTCCTTTGCACGGAATGCGGATGCGATAACATCATCCTGTGTGCCAGGCCTGCCATCGATTGCTACTAAAGCAGAGAGGAATGCACCGCCCATCTTCAAAAAGCATGAAGGAACTAGGAATGCAAAGGGATGGGGTTATGAACTTTACGTGTGATCGCTGGCGCACGCGCTATTTCATCAGGCATAAATTCTTTCATTATCACGCCTATCCAAATCGATCACCAGTGATCGGCACTTCTAGATCCTCAATTATGGCATGCAAAATTTATTACACACGCACCCAACACTTTCTAGTAGTTGGTCCAGCCACTCAACTTTCAGAATCAATTTCAATTTGCCTGTTTCGGCGACATGGCGATTTGCGAAAGACTTTTGGGCGAACCAATGTGCACGTATTGTTCGAATAGTGCACTAGGCTGGCGAACTTGACAGAAGCATGTGCCCCTCGCGATTAGTGTTCAACAACATCGATGTTCGGGAATGAAAAGAACCTTTGCAAGCCAAATATCGAATTAAAGCGTCGGCTTCGCAATTTGACTATGTTGAGCAGCAAGGATAGCCAGAAATTTACGTCATATATTCAATGGAAAGTTGTTTCGAAGAGTCGGGAGAAATTTGTTCTACAAAACATATTAGTCAAGGTCCGCTGCATGTTTAAAGTGTTGAGGTGGTCTTCTATGACAGTTTCCAGCAGCTTTAATTTTGCTTGCATTGTTATACTATCAGACACAGGGTCGCATCTAGTGTCACTAGCCGCTTCTATGATGTCGTCGTCACGCGCACATTGGTACGAATGAGCGCTGCAAAACACATGCGCTGCTCGCAACTGTCTTGCAACCCCACCCGAATTAAGTGATGACAAGCTTAGCGTCCAAGAATGACAGCACCTCAGCCTGAAGTTTTATGGCAACGATGGTTTGCGTCAGCCTGCTACATCCGCAGCCATTCATGGGTTTGTTTCATTTACATCCTAAAGTTGTTTCCTCCGCCGCAAGTGCTTATAGCTTCTTACCTTTGCGCACAATCTTATAGCTACTCTGGTTACGTGCCTGGTCCACACTTCGCTCGGGCGCAGTGTGCTGGCGCTGGCAGCAGAGCTTTTCCTAGCAACAAGCAACAGCTTGTTGCCAGGAGCTTTTCCTAGCAACATCTTGGCCCTTACTATGGAGCAGTGCGAAGCATTTTAGAATAGCGCATGCTGTTGTCTTTAATTTATTACAATATGCGTGAAAACGCAAAAGAAATATGCTTCGATGCATATATTGGAACGCCAACCTATGCGGTGTAAGGTGGCTCATAGAAAGAGGTGACGCTACGTGAAATAGAGAAGTTCTCTGGACATCTCATTTATAAAGGAATTATTCACATCACGGGTATTCATCTACATCTATTGGAACACCAAAAGACTTATTTCAACAAAAAAAAATTTACTGCTAAAAAGTGCACAAGTACGGTTGTGTCTCACGAAAAACCATGCAATGCTTCACCAAATGGCACGAGCAACAAAGCAGCACCTCGGTTCTGATTTTCTTTGTCTATGTGAATAGAAAATTTTTGTAAAACATTCATTATTTTTTATACTGTTCCTGGGTCATTCATCTACAAATTGTATATTCTGAATTTTCTTTGTTCTGAATATTTTTGCATATATAGTGTTTTTTATTGCACTGTTTACCAGCTTGTGACCAAAAATTCTACACTTTTCGCTTTTTTATTCATTAAATATAGTTTTGTTGCTCTACAACATAGTTTTTTAAAAGAGCACTTCGTTGTGCAAAGTTTGGAATGCTGCAATGCGTGCTGGAGTACTTTTCCAAATGGCGAAAACGATCTTCCTGAGACATATGACAAACTATTTTTGCGTGGTAACGAAAGAGTTAATGACGGCTGTTATACCGAACTATTTTGTACTCTCAATGCAAACAGACTGTTGGCATTGCATTCATTGCTAGAAGCTTAAGTGAAACTAACAAACTGTATCGTTTGTGCATTTCACGTAACTCAAGCGAACGCTGACTCAAGGGACAATGATCACCTCAGTTGCCGAAACAGTTTGCATGCTGTAAGTTATCTAAATGCGAAGCAGAAGTTAGTAGCACAGAAAGTTTACGACCATATCCCATTATGCCTCGAGATAGCAAGCGCTAGCGGCTGTGCCTTTCAAGCAACGTAGCCTTCGTCCCCATCCCGTAAAAAAAAAAAAAACGAAGCAACGAATGCAATGGCGTGCTGTTTATATTTTCTTAACCATCAGCTGTTGACCCTGGACAGTGGGAGGCGGACATGTAACAAGGGGTAGCCACTTCAAGGGCCTTTCGACGCCAGAGCGGCAACGATAGTCTCCCTATTGAAAGCTGCGCATATTAAAATTGAATTGCAGCTGCTCCGACCAGAAAGAATGCTTTTATTTAAAAAAGAAAAAGCACACGAAATTTTTGAATTCGAACCCTAGCAATCTCGAGTTCGAAAGGAGAGGGTGATATAGGGGATTCTACCGCAACTGCGATTTACAAGTGCTGATGTGCTGGGGAAAAAATTACGAAAATGAACTGCTGGATGAAGATTCAAAAATAATAATAAAGTAAAACTGGAACTGCGTTCCCACCGTTCATGTGTACTTCTGCGGATGTGAAGCATGGAAAATTGGACCAGGATATCAAGAAGTAGACGGGACAGACATTCTGGCGGCACATGTACAGTTATTAGTGAAAATTGCTTTAGTAACGTGCCACGCTGTCCTACAAACGAGCTATCGGCAGTGTTTCTAGTACAGACGGCGTCCGCCGCCAAATTGCCACCACAATTTCCCACCAATTAAACAATACGTCCTGAGCCCCTGTGGTGGAGAGCGTGTTTCGCCGTTAAGCGGGCTATCACTACAGAAGTTGCGGCGGCACCAAACATAGCATCGCGAAGTACTTAGGACCGACTGCTGTTTATTCAGTAAAAAAATTCTAGGCACGTCATTGTGACTGGCCCTAAGAACAAGATGCACATGTTTTGATGCCAGAATAGCCATAGAGTTAACATACAGACTTTAGTGAAAAAGCTGCCCAGTGGGCCCATGCGTTAAAACGTACACAACCACTCGGGTGTGGCCATGGTGGAGCGATACTCCACTTCCAAGTGACGTTCATTCGCACACATCACTGCATGCTGCAATAACCTCTGGCATTTTTTTCTGTTTCATGGATCTGTTATATCGCAGTAAGAGACTGTCACATGAAGTCGAGTGTTTGGCCTATGGCAAAAAAAAAAAAAAAAAAAAAACACTGACAATGAGACACTGTGTATGACTCGCCCGACATGCAAGCAAGCCAGTGCAATCAGCCGCACATCCGACCGCCACGCTCTCAACGTTACAAGGATGGTGAAGCCATCTACTAAAAAACCTGCAAACGCTCCATTCTGCACACAGAAAATTGCTTAAATGGCGATTTGTGTCTTTCCTAAACGTAGTTGATATAAACATCATGCAATTTTATTTGTTTATAATACGTGAACACGCCTGTTTACGATTTGTACTGTGAATAATTTAGTGTTTTGAACGTTCCAAGATCTCAGCGTTTTGGTGGTTATAGCTTTTCGGCCCAGCATTTCCTCTAGAGTCAGTACACGAGCTCTATGGGTGTGGCAACTGCCAGTAATAAACGTTCCCAAATTCGACTTTCGTGTACTTTGGCGCAGAAGTGGAATCACTGAAGATGCAAGTTAAAGCTAATGTACTTGAAAATATATAAAAGAAGACAGACGAGAATAATTAAAACAATGTAAAAAAATAATTTTAACAAACCACCAACACTTTGAAATAGTCAGTTTTTAGCTGAAGTTACAAATTCCTGCCTAGTGCCTCTTTTCATACGGAAAGTTACCGACCCTGTCAATGTGCACAGTACTAATACAAGTGTGCACAGGCTATGCGACATGATGCAACAGCAGCCTTCAACTGGAATAATACAAAAATGCCCACCAACCAGTGCTCACGAGCATGTCTCGAACATGTTACGTTGGATATGTGCAAAAGAAGGCCCTGAATTTTTTTTTCATTGCATTGTCAATGACATTGTGCCTTGCTTATTCTATTTCAGCACAGCATAGACTTTGTAATAAAGCTTCCATTACACGGAAATGAATCGAGGCCTGAACGTTAATTGCCAAAATGGTATAGCTGCTATGCCACCACATTAGGTTGCCGCTAGTACCTAAACTAGTGAAGCTTGAAGATACTAATTTCCTGACTAGACCTTGATGCTTCTTCAAGGTAGGCCAGCTTCAGGTGTCAAATTTTCTCACCATCTCGACCGACAGCACATCGTGTTTACAAAACCAGCTACAAAACTAGGGAAACCACAGTGATAAAGAATGAAAACTATATAAAAGCACACGTTTCATGCTTCAGTGCTGACCACAGCAATCATAGATGGAAGCCACAAGCACTGACAGCTAGACTGATTGCTAAACTGCTTGAAATGTTGAACTGATTGAAATGGGACAGTGGCTCTACCGATTGCGCTAATCATAACTCAATTGGTAGAGCTACCGCTCCGAAAAGGCGTTGGTCCCAAGTTCGATTCCCGGACCAGGCCGAATTTTCGGGCAACATTAAAGCTTTACTTTCCGAGAAATCCCTACCGATTTATTTGTGGCTTTATGCCACCTGGCATGCACAGTCTGACTCCTTTACAAGAGAAAATGATGTATGAGAAATAGGTATGACACCCGTGCACCTACACTGAAATAAGTGTTGATAGAAAAATGCACACCTGGTACCCTGCTTATAAGAGACACTTCATAAAAAACAAGGATTGCTCCCTGGCACATGTCTCTTATAAATAGATGCAATCTGCATCCTGCCTGTGTGCGTTCTTAATAAAGTCAGCATGCCTGCTTCCCAATCTGCAGATTGCTTTTCAACTTTGGAGCTAGATGCTTCGAAGAAGTGGCGGAAACCCACTTTAAAACGATCCTGTGTGGGCCTTCTGGTTATCTCAGAGCACCAGCAAGAATTTCAGGCAGACAGCGGACTTCAATAGAACCCCAGTCCACTCGACAATTTATGCCAGTTTGCCCAACCCCAACCCAACTAATCTTAGTAACCTGCCCAAACGCAGCTCACAGTACTGGGGCAATCAAATGTTGGACTATGCACACCCCTAATTATCAAGTACTGGTAGAGGCAGCTGTACAGCTCCTTGCGTAAGTATCTAAGGTTTCAGAGGTACGAAGAGCATTGAGAGCTGTTGTACAAACTAACTAATAGATTACATGACACAGCCATGTATCACTGTTGCATGCAGCAAATTGTTTTTTTTTTTTTCATAGATGGAATGAGAGAATAACGACGTCATACTAAACTGATGTTAGTGTTCTAAGGCTGTGCTAAAACGATGTTGTAAAATTTTACATTTTTACAGTCTCGTATGATGCGACAGATATTTACGGTGTGCCGGATGCTGTTGTAATACTTCCTGTGCTGTTCCCGAAAAGTCACATAGTTGGAAGTTGCCAACCGGGGACTTGGATCTCGGCTCGGAGGTCGAAACGGGGCCTTAGTTTTTGTGCCCAAGGTCTTTTGTTCTTTCGGCTGCTTACAGCTCCTCAGACGACATGCGAATGGTGCAGCTACAAGAAAAGGAAAGACCACCAGAAATGAGCTTGTTATCATCAAGCGAGCTGTACATTGAGGGTGAATGAAGGTTTAACACTAACCACTTTTTATCTAGATACATTATCAACTTATGGTAAGCATTGTAGTATATAAAAAACATACATCATGCTGGTAACCAACTCCTCCCTGATGTCTCAGAGCTTTGGCTAAAAGCTTTACGTTTTCCAAGATCGCTTGCTGGGAGAACTCTGTTCATGCACCATTTCCATTTAGGCATCAGTCTTAAAGGGGCCAAGCAACACTTTTTCAGCATGTTGAAAAAATGCTGCCTATCGGTAATCGACGAGAACACATGAGCCAAACATTGTAGCACAGCACATGGCCCGTAATTTACAGTTATATCTCAAAGCCCGCTAGAAATCGCTCCTTCTCTCCACAAATGATGCCGTAAACCCTAAATCATCGGGCATTGATCATTGTAAGCCGTGCATAGTAAGAACATGCCTATGCACTCACTCACGATTACAGTGAAAGTAAACTGCACAATCAAAAAAAAAAAAAGCTCAAGGTCATGATACATGCTGACAAACATATCTTGCCCTCTTTTCCTCCCTCCCCCACTTATAGAGGGTTCAGTGCACTCCCTGGTATGAAAGGAGAGAGAAAGTGCTTGGTGGACGACCAATTGCTCTAGCTCCATTCATACCTCAGTATTCAGCAAAATTTTTTCAGCAGTGGCTTTATTAGGCAAGAAGAATTTTTCATGAAGCCAGTCAACGATTACTTCAGAAAGTGTTGCAGGGACCTTGTATTAACATAGTGCTGAAGGGAGCATGTGTCATGCTGCCTTCATTCTGCACCTATAGAAAGAGACTAAACGGGTTGGTTAGGCTCCTCCAGTGATTAAAAAAAAACAGACTCATGAAAGCACAACAGCCCACGAAAACGAACCGCTTGATGCCTTGGTGGAAGAACCAAAGATGCAAGAGTCATTCTGTGCAGCTCAACCACAACGCAAACTTCTTGCGGCTTCTAATTACCCCGATCGGGTCTCGCAAAATTATGCTAACAGGCCAGGTGCTCAGAATATTGTTCCACGGAGGAATTCTAATGCGTTATTACTAGAAACCATCTTTTCTAGCTCCCTTCAGATTAGTTTCGAGGCAGCCCTTCCACAACTTGTTGCCTTCTTGGTGTTGCTAGTGCATTCTGGCTAAGTTTCAAGACTGCACATATACAGGCTGCTGCTTATGCTTCAGTCTATTTGCAAGATCACCATGCAAGTTGCTCGCACATGATGTGAAACTGGTATATGTGAATCTTTAAGTGCAATACGATCAATTGAGAACATCTATTCATTTAAGAGATCACTGCAGAATGAAAAGAGGCACAAGACAAACCCAATCAGGACTGCAGGGCTTCTCGTAGATGTGCCCTCCAAATTGGCACATCTAGATTTCTTGATGCGTGAAACTGGCCTATGATGCTTTAGGCAAAGTGGATTCCAAATCGGAACACTTCTGCGAGCGCCTAACGTGGGTGCTTTTAGCCTGAACGTGTACTGAGATAAATGTACTGAGAGGGCGGTTCACGAATACAGCACAAAAAGAATAAAGGCAAGTTTGTTGCGCTATAGTAAACAGCCACACACAGCTCAAAAGGACTAACGTAGTGGCAATAACGATCTGTGCGTTAAGGTGCACTGAAAAGAAATAGTGGCAGGGGCGCATTTCAGTGCGAGAGCATTACCCGAAATTTTGTGAGGGCTGCACACACCCGTCTACCCCTGCTTTCGAGATTATGAATGTTGTTTACAAATAAGGCCCCCGAAGTCCCGAGTGCATATCGTTAGGACGTAGGCTCTTATTTCGATACGATGTGCTTATATAACGATCACAACGCAAGTTTTTACCGTTACGTCCGATCGTGAGGCTAGGCACTTCAACGGTACTGAAACAGTACCGCTGGAAAGAATCCGGAATACGAAGAAAGGAGGGAAGTAAGGGACTTTAGATCGTAGTCATCCGGATTAGAGGCCGTGTTCACGATAAAAAAGAACCACAATGCTAGGCAGGAGAAGCAAATGGGATTTTCGTTCACCACTACTGTCGCTGTCCTCGGCCGCAGTTCCTGAGGCCTCACTGACGACGACGATGCGCCTTCGTGCTCCGAGAAGAGTGAACCGTTTGTGGCGACGGCGAGCTTCTGCGCGCAACAATCGCCGGTCGCGAAAGAAGCCTTCGTTTCGCAGCGCACAGGCTGCTCCGGCGATGGAACTCATAAATACAGCAACGGTCACAACACAACCTCGGACCGACTGATTTCAAAACCGCCTCTGCTGGTTGACCAAGGTTCTCTCATTTCCGCCCCTAAGAAATGCTGCCTGGAGTAATTGCGTGCAACTTCCGGTTACTCAGCCATGTTTCAGCGCTTTAGTAGCGCCACTAGTGGAGGCCATATGAACACAAGTTTGAAGCTTAAGCTTACAAATTAACCAAATCTTTCTTTTTTTTTCATGTGTAAGTAACATTTATTAATATTATGTAATAGCAAAGTATACCTAAATGTATCAACGAAGCCGAGACCAAAACACGAAGACTTTCGGAGTGAACCACAGCCGCCTGGATCACCACGCGCGCCGATCCAGGCGGCCGTGAGTGAACGAACGTCGTTATGTCAACCATCAACAGACTTCGTTGTGCGGGCGGCACTTACATGGTTCACGTACATTGTATTGAACAGTGTCATTGCGATCGTCCCCTCGTAGCGTTCATCGGTGCTCCGGTTTCGGTTTCAACAATTCATTTGGTTGAGTTGCATTACTTCGCGATTATTACTAGAGGCCGATTTTTGGAAATCTCGAAGCTGCATGGAGTTATTTTGCAAAAAAAAAAGAAGACTTTAGTAGACTTTTTTCTGTTACAGTGGCGGTACCATACGGGGTATGGCGGCTAGTACAAGGGGAGGGGGGGAAGTGTTCACTCTACCCCTCCGAGCCTGTGTCATCGTCCCGCCCCTATCCAGTCCTCGCTGTCTACCTCCTTTAACCGAATAGGACGAAAGAGTGGGTCCATCGAGCACAAATTAGCAGTGTTAATACTATCATTAGGGTTGTTATGCTAATAAAACAAAAAAACTGAGTTACCCTCTCCCCAAAGGCAACCATGATGGGGTCTGAAACAGCAGCGGTGCGCACGGCGTTGACCCGGCTGAAACGGGGCGTCAACACGGGTGCTGGAAGAACGGGTTGAAGCGGAACTCGGTGTAGCATTTATTTGAGTAAACGCGTTTCTTGGAAACGCAAAGACACCCGATGTAAGTTTCATCGCAGATCAACAAACCGAAAGGCTGTTTCTACTTGACGCGCGGTCGAGCGTTGCGGACGGTGGAGGGGGTGAAGCGAGAGAGGTGTGTTGAGAGCGGGCGGAGGAGAAACACCACAGGTGTGTTAGGAGGAGCCGGCAGCTGATACGGGTGAGGTAGAAAGTGACGTTAACGCGCAGCTGCTACTTGACCTGCTTGGCATCGCTCCAACAGCTGTGGCGGGAGGAACGGGGTGCAGAGAGTTAGCACGGAGACATGGACGGACAGCATTGCACAGGCTAATCAAAGAGCTGCTTCGCATCTAAAAATTAACGACCCCACGTCTCTGTCCGGTGTTAGATCAAGTGAACCCCCCCCCCCCCCCCCCCCTAAAATGAGGGGCTTGATCCGCCACTGCCTTGTTTGCAAACAGCATGACGTCACTGCGAGCCCCGCGCCCACCATTCCCTCCCTCTCCCTCGGCGCAGGGGCTGGTTGGCAAGGAAGCTCCGCTGACGGGATCTTTCTGCATAGCAGGACTGCGTGTGTCTGCCTTGCTCCGGCAGAAATTTCGGCGAATTTTTTAAGCCACTAAAAAGAAGGGTCATTGCACGATTATGTTAGGTTAACTGCGGCGATTAGCTCGTCGCAGATGGCAGCCATTAAAAATACATTTTCCTCTTCGAAAGCGAACATTCTGGAGACGGCATATTGACGGTAACGCATGTTTAGAATTTTCGTCGTGATATGTGCACTGCTGTTTTAAACGCTCTTTCTATGAAACCTTATGCCCCAACGTGGTGGTCTAGTGGCTAAGGTACTCGGCTGCTTAACCGCAGGTCGCGGGATCGAATCCCGGCTGCGGCGGCTGCATTTACGATGGAGGCGGAATGTTGTAGGCCCGTGTGCTCAGATTCGGGTACACGTTAAAGAACCCCAGGTAGTCGAAATTTCCGGAGCCCTCCACTACGGCGTCTCTCATGATCATATGATGGTTTTGGGATGCTAAACCCCCCATATCAATCAATCATCAAATATGAAACCATATGAAGCCTCCGATAATACGAGTTATATACCTCTATTGGGTCTTCGTACTCACCGGGACGAAGCGTACATGCAGCTTCGACAATGGTAAGCATTTTTAAAGTTCATGCGCAGTCACATCTTTCAGCCCGGAGGTCGCGTAATTCTTTTTCTGCACGCAGCGCAAACGCCGAGATGTATCCGTGCGCAGATGATCGCGTCAATTGCATGTTTAAATTGACTAAAATGTCGAATCGTAAAGTTCAGTCGACAACCGGTTGCCTTCACCGACCCACAACGAGTGCCAATGTTTTCGCATACAAGACGCATCGTTATTCAGATTTCACACAGCACGCACAATATTATCAATTTCACCGTCCATAAACGTGAACCAATATTGTCGACGCCTTTCAACGCACACTACATGCCACAATCAACATTGCACATTTTTGAAGACGATGCCGCTGTTCCTCGCACAGGCCACCATGCGTGTTCACTTCTTCAAGATAAACAGCCAGCCAGTTTGGCAAATACTTCACGCAGTTTTCCACACTGCTAGATGTCATTTGACACATGCTACAGGTGATGTAAACACTGTAACATGCAGTTTAAGCTTTGAAAAAGAAAGAAAAAACTTGAACCCAACATCGCATGACTGTGCCGCGCTGAGCTACCAGCGGGGGTGTTTTGCAAACCACACCGTGCACGTGCACCAGTGACGTCACTTTGTGACGCACCCCGGTAGAGGTTCATTTTTCTGTACGACGTAAGTGCTTAGCTCCACTAATTAAAAGTTATTTTTGTTTAACTTTTTCATTGCAGTCCAAAATGATATCTTAGGCCATTGCAAGATTCCTGCGGCTACAGAAAAATGTAGTGATCAAATATTGCATTTTACCGATTTTTGATAATATAGGGCACATTTCTTGAAACACCCTGCATTATCGCGGCTCCACTTTACAGGCGCAGGCTGTCTCGACACCATTTCAAGCGTTTCAAGTTTCACAAATTTTTGGACAAAATCAGTGCTACTTAGACAAAGACAGGTGACTATATATATATATATATATATATATATATATATATATATATATATATATATATATATGTATAAATATATGCTTGTTCCCCATATATCACTGAGGCAACAGCAGTAATGCAGTAACTGCGGAATAAGGGCATCGACGATTCCTATAAATATACTGGAATAAATCTACAGCCACCATATTTCTCAATAAAGAAAACGACAGAATCCCAATAAAAAAGGGTGTACGGCAGGGTGACAATCTATGTAATGCTATTCACCATGTGTTTCCAGGAGGTTTTCAAAGCCCTAGATAGGGAATTGAGTTAATGGAGAGCATCTTCTTAAACTGCGATTCCTTGATGAGTAACTCAGGGAAGGAATTGCAGCTCATGATTGCTGAACTGGACACGGAAAGCAGAATAGTAGGTCTGAAAATTAATATGAACAAAATAAACTGCTTAATGTGCAACAGTCTCGGCAGAAAACAGTGCTTTGCGATAGGTGGAGAAGTGCTGGAAGTTAGGACAGGTATTAACTTTGGAGCCGAACCATGAGGTTGAAATAACTAAAAGAATAAGGATGGGTGGATCATATTCGGCAAGCATTCTCAAATCATGAATAGCAATCTGCCACTAACCCTCAAAATTAATTAAGGTATATCACCGCTGCATCTTGCTGGTACTTAACCACAGAGGAGAAACCTGGAGATGGCCTACAAAAGAGGGTTCGGCTTAAATTGAGGACGACGCAGCGAGCGATGGAAAGGAAAATGATAGGTGCACATGTAACAGAGCAGAGTGGCTCAGGGAACAAACCGGGGTTAAGAATATCGTAGTAGAAATCAAGAAGAAATGGACATGGGCCGGGCACGTAGCACGGTGGCAGGATAACCGCTGGTCGTTATGGGCTAACTGGCTTGATTCACAGAGCAGGCAAACGTACGAAGGGGAGACAGAAAGTTGGGTGGGCTGATGAGATTAAAAAGTTCGCAGGCGTAACGTCCAGCAGGAAGCACAAGACCGGGCTGATTGGCAGATCATGGGAGAGGCCTTTGCTCTGCAGTGGGCGTAGTCAGGCTGATGATATCATCGAAGCTAACTCCTAGTGTGCTGAAGTTTAATATGTTATTTCCATTAGGTACAAGTCACCATACACCCTGCCTGTGCTCTTTTTAACGCCAGCAGTTGTCAAGTTTTGCCATGACCTGGCGCCCAATACGGACAATGTACTCTACGCAAGTCGACTCTAACGCTAAAGCCCTACTAAGAACCGTTTATTTAGTACTGCCATACGCAATAAAGGGATTGTTCAACAGTTTATTACTTGAAAGAAAGGTAAAGGAACAGGTGCGCTGCTCACGCACGCCCACGCAACGTAAGCAAGCACACACCCATTGGCGTGCGCACGAGAGGGGGCAGGCGAGGGCGACCAAAGTCGCCCAAGTCAAGGTTCGATTAGAAGTTCTCACCGTTCGCTGCAGAAGCAGTCGCGATATCGCTGCAAGAGGTCGACCGGCTCGGTTGCTGCGAGCGCGAAGGCCTTGGTTGCGGCGGGCGACTGGTAGAGCGCCCGTGCCGGGGCTTCACCTCGGTGTTGTGACCTTTGGCCTTGGCGGTTGGCATGACCTTGCTAGGGCCCGACGTCGAAGGCTTGGTTGACTCGGCTGCAACCTTAACCGCGCTGTGGCGGGTGCTTGGCTTCATGAGCGGAGTACGAGCATCCGCCGTTCGATGACGGCTCCGGGAGGGTCGCGCTTCGCAAGGGGTGTCCGGCCTGCCGCGCTGCATTGTGTCGACAGAACCGTTCATGGGGCTCGGGACACGAGACTGCGCGAAGCAGGCTGCGCGTGGGCTGGTTATGATAAAGATGATGATTGGGGTATGACAGGCCGAGAATGGGGACGTATAGTTGCTAGGTGGCTTCAGAACTTACAAAATGATAACAAAAAGCACATTTCCGGAAGGATCTTACGAGTACATTGCGTATGTCATTG